GGTATCCAACTGTGTGAGTTTAATTGAAGTAAAGAACACACACCCGGCTGAACTAGTTTTTTTTCTGCATGTTTAGATGCTACAAAAATTATATTCTGTAAGAGGAGACTGGTGTCAGACTCTGCTAATTGTTACCAAAAGTCAAATGAGAATCTAGAAGTATAAAAAATTAGGGGTCATGTTTTCTCTTAAAAAGCAATTATCGCTGTAATCCTAATAATAGTAAAATATTATATTTCATGCCAGTGCAATTACACACTATTGCTGGTATATAAAAACGCAGGGGAAAGTTCATGCTTCTGTAAAGCCAGAATTTACCTACATTTTCTATGAAAATGGGTTAAAGTCAATTATCCTTTTGTATGACACTAGAATCGTCCTGCCACACATGTAATCTCAGACTAACCCAGAAACTTGTAAGTTTACTCTTTCAACTTTGCAAACTATTCTTTCATTCAATATACCACTGGCTCAAGGCAGATAAAAGATCGTGTCCATGTACATTTATCAAATTCTTTTTGAACATTGGAAGTTGGTAGGCAAATTATCATTATAAATAAAAAAAAGCCCCAAAAATATGCAAAGCAGAAAAAAATATTGTAGCAATAAAATACCTGATAGTCATATGAACGTTACTAGTGACATTTATATTTTTGTGACTCTAGGAGTAAGGCATTCTCAATATAGGGCATTTAGATACAGATACAAAGATGAATTAAAGAAAACATTTTCTGGGACAATACCATCCAGCTAACTATTGTTAATTTTCTATGTGCATGTAAATGTGTATGTAGCCTACATTTATATTGTGAATGAGCTTATACTATAAATATAGTTTTGTATTCTGCCTTTTCACTTAATATTGCCTCATGATCATTTTTCTAGATCACTAAATGCTTTGGAAATATAATTTTAATTGAATCATTTGTATGCACAAGACATTTAAGATGTTTCCAGTTTTTAACTGTTATGAATAATAGAATGATAATTTTGTACATAAATCTGAATTTTTGATGATTCCGTTAGTGGAGATGCCTAAATGGGGATTGTTTTGGTCCAAAGACGATGAACCCCCATAAGACTATTAATGTGTGTTACTGTGTTCAAGTTCTAAATAAATTCTGCTCATGGTATAGATGCACACATATCAGTGGGAGAAGTGAGAGACTAAATAAAAAAAGTGAGAGGCAATTTTGCACAGTGGGTAGAACAACCCCTGTAGAGAGACCTGTGTTTGTGCCTGAGCGTGGCTAATCGCCATCGGAGTGACTTTAGGCAAATCATTAAGCTCATGTTTACTCTCCAAGAAGAGGAAATAAACACTTACATTGTAGGATTAATCGAGACCATTAATATAAAGGATGGATTTCCCTATCTGGCATAGAGTCGGCATGCAATCAATATTTGACTATAATCTGGTTTTATTATGAATTTCTCTGAATAATAGCAAAATTGAATACATTATAAATGTCTATTGGCCATTTGTTTCTTCTTCTGTGACTATTTTTCAAGTCACTTGTATTTTTTATTAAATTGGGATATGAGTGGGGATAGCACTTTATTAAATAACATCTCTAATCTTCCTTTGTTTCATTTTGTGTGTTTCCAGTTCCTTTTTAAATTTTTCAAAAACTTGTTCTCGGTTCTTTTTGCTCTTATGAATTTTTAAAAAAACCGAAGTGACTTTATTTTTTTGTTTTAAATACGTGTCCATTGTGAAAATTCAGAAAATCTGGGGAAAGAAACAAAATGTAATTCCCAATCCTGCCACTAAGAGTTAGAGATAATCCATATTAATATGTGGTACACATGTCAAAGTATTTTTTAATTATAAAGTAGAATTCCTGTCTTATCAGCATCATATTTTTTTAAAATATATTTTATTGATTTTTTACAGAGAGGAAGGGAGAGAGACAGAGAGTTAGAAACATCGATGAGAGAGAAACATCGATCAGCTGCCTCCTGCACATCTCCTACTGGGGATGTGCCCGCAACCCAGGTACATGCCCTTGACCGGAATCGAACCTGGGACCTTTCAGTCTGCAGGCCGACGCTCTATCCACTGAATTCCTGTCTTATCAGCATCATATTTTTAATATGGTTTTATTGATTTTTGAGAGACATAGAAGGGAGAGGGAGAGAGAGAGAAACATTGATCGGCTGCCTCCTATCCACCCAGCACTGGAGATTAAGCCTGCAACCCTGGGCATGTGCCCTGACTGGGAGGCAACCCTGTGACCTCTCGGTGCATGGGAGGACGCTCAACCAACTGAGTCCCACCGGCCAGGGCTCAACGTCATATTTTCAGGTCAATAAATAACACCAGTAGATAGCCACATTATGAGAATAGCATCTTGATATTCCTTCGTGTAAGTAATGTAATCAAGTCTTCTGTTGACAAATTTCTGGGTTCAGTTTCCAGATGTTGCATTGCAGAGCAAGGTTGCTCCATGAAGCAATGCTACCATGAACATTATGATTTCTTGTGAAAAAGTTTTATATTTCTATATTATAAAATCTATGTTTCCATTGTGATTTTTCCTTTAAAAAGGTGACTTTTTTTCTGGAAAAGTACCTAAAATTAGATAATTATTCTTCTGCATTTTTTCCTAATTTGGTTTATAGATTTTTTTTGTCCTTTCAGAATTTTATGTTAGTGCATAGTGCATATTGTGATAGGAGGTACTAGTCTTGGAAGAAAACAAAATTAACCATTTCTTAGAAAACTGCCCCTAATTCTTATACTGTATGTGATTTTGAAAGGAGAAATGTAAGTCATTAACTCATTTGGGCTATTTCAAATATCGGTAAATTCTTATTAGGAGAAGCAAATGGAGGTTGAGTGTTTGATCTGAGCCTGAAAATGAGGTAATCCATGCCCTCATGTATAATCTAGTAAAGAAGATGAGGCCTAGAGCACAGCCTTGAGGAATAAATTATAGGCTAATGCATGCATGAAGGCGAGAGGTAGCTTCAGAAAACGTGCTGACATATTGAGAACCGCTAGGTAGTAATCAGGGCAAGTTCCCTTTGACGTGACAGGTGAACCAAGATGAAAACAAATTGAGGTCGGAGGTGAACAAAAGGTGAGAGATGGCATCACCCCTGGGAAGCGGTTGGGTCCTTGGGATGAATTCCTTTAGCAACGTTAAAGCTTTTCTTCACCAGCAAGAGCAGTGAAGAATCCTTTCTTTGGAGGGAAATAATTTTACCTCAAGTCTTACTTCAACTTCAAGAAACAAGCCAGTCATTAACTCATAATTTAATATGCAAGAGTTTTAAACTCTCTGTTCTAACCAGCAAGAGATGGTGGTCGTGGGAGCCATGTTAAATTAAAAGGAGGACAAGGATACGATTTTTCTTGGACAGACATCTTTCTGATCTTCGAATTTTGAGATTTGCGCTAGTCATCGAAGACACTGAATAGGGAACGTATTTCCTGAGGGACATCAGCCATCACCGGAGTAGGTATCCACAGTCCCAAATGAAATGCGTGAAGACAGAAAGGGGGTTGGAGGAGTGGTTCCTGATGTAGCAAAGTAGAGGAAGGTGATCTTAAGTGTCTCCTGAAGCAAGCTGCCTGCTCTCGGGATTCCAGACAACCTTGGAAGGCAGGCATGGTACAAAGACTGAAACCAAAATGTACAGTTTCACCCCCACCATGAAGCCAGGTGACTGTCCCTCTTCCCCCCAGAGAACTAGAGGCATCGTCTCTGAAGAGAGTCAACCAGCAGGCTCTGGGTAAAATAGGGGCGCTGACATTAGAATGGAGGGACTAGGAGAAAGCCTGCATTCAGAAAGGTGAGATCCCCGCCCTCTATTTCCGCCCAGCTCCTCGGCCACTGACAGTCGGGTTGTACACAGGAGGCAGGAAACTGGAGGCGACTTCTCTTGAGAAACAGAAAGGCCACAGCGGGAAGGAGTACAGATACTGCTATTGGGAATCTCCCACCGGCCACTCAGTTGCTCTTACACTGAAGCCCACTTGTTTGGGCAAAATAAATGTACACAGATGCAAATCTAATATATAAAAGGCCAGTGGCCGTAACGCCAGAATGACCAAACGACCTGTCACCAGGAGGTGCATTGATGGGTCCCTCGGTGGCAGCAGGAGGGACTCTGTGTCCTGAGGCGGCAGTGGGCAGGACTCTGGGTCCTGCGGCCATGGCAGGTGGGACTCTGGGTCTCACACGATTTCGTGCGCTGGGCCTCTAGTGTAATCATAATATACCACTTAGACAGCAAGGATCAATACGTAGGTAGTCTTTATAACAAATACTGATAACGATTTAACCACAAGTTAAAATGCTAATAATGACATTGACAAGGTGGAGATGGGAGTAGAGGGCATATAAGAAGAGTTTGATCTTCCTCTACCATAATGGATCAGTATACAATTTTAATTAATGAAATATGAGGTATTGATGTAAGCAAATTAAGAAATACAAAGATAAATACCCGAAGAAATAGCTTTAAAAATTTTGAAAGTATTTGTCACTGCTCAGCTGGGTAGGGGGGTCCAGGGGCAGAGGACTGCCAGTTGTCAATATTATGCCTTTTGAAGTTATATGATTTAATCGTGTGCCATTAAATGAGCGGTGGTACTTAAAAGAAACTACTCTCTATTATAGAAATTATATGTGGGGTTGCTCCATTAATAGCCTGCTGCTGGCCTAAAATAGACAACTCAGTAACTATTCGATAAATGAATGATGGCCTTTTTAAAAGGGATTTGATCATTATCATTGTCGTCTGGTTGGAGAAGCCATCTCTTTTGGAGTAAGTTGTTACTCCTTTATCTGTCTGCCGCTTGAGTCACTGCCATATAGACCCCTCTTCCAGACAGTTTACAATTTCTGATGTTACTTTACATAACTTTTTTATTTTCACTGTTATGTTTAAATATGGAGTTTCAGACAATGTGAAGGTTATGCAATCAAAACAAGCTCTAGCAGTAAGAACCTCCAACATTTCTTATTTTTGTGCTCTCACTTCTCTAGATCTGCAACAGCTCAGCTCAGTCAGGAGAAGAGGTACGCATACGGCAAACTGAAAAAGTTACAGGAAAGAAACGATGAGTTGGAGGAGCAGTGCGTCCAACACGGGAGACTCCATGAGATCATGAAGGAAAGGTAAGAAAGCTTTAATAGTCACCTGACGTGCCCTATAAACCTGTTTGGTTCGTAAACAGACTAGGAATTGCCGTGCAATAAATAGAATCCATGATTACTCGGCTACTTAAGGGACGTGCTCCAAACCCCATACTTTTATGTATTTATGCTTTCTCCGCTTAGGCTATTCTTATAATACACAGAGAACAGTTAAGACGAGAGCACACCTCCTCTTAACTGTTCTCTAAATACATAGGAGTAGATGTAATACAGAACACTGTAGGAAAACCGTCACCTTTAAAGTGTATTTTGGTAATGTGATATGGAGGAATTTCAAAAGTTCTCCTCCAGAAATTAGGTTCTGTAGGCTTTTTGTAAGATGTAGCAGGCCTAAGAAGGTCAAATATCTAAGCAGAGGTGGTACTGAGAGTGTTGCTAGAGTCAGGATTGGACTTCAAACCCTATGGTTCAGGGGGGGCAGGGTAAGAGATCAACCGAAGGACTTGTATGCATGCATAAAAGCATAACCAATGGACACAAGACACTGGGGGGTATGGGAGGCCAGGGGAAGGTCAAGGGGAGGGAAAAAAAAGGAGACATATATAATACTCTTTGTAATACTTTAAGCAATAAAACAAAATTAAAAAAAATATGTTGAGACTTAGATATCTGACTTATTGAAATAATTCAGTGATCTAATGCTGAGTAAAGTCTGTTACTTAAAGGAAAAAAAACCCTCTGGTTCTCCTCAGTGGTGTTTCTGTGAGAAGGTTACTTACCCTCTCTGAGCATCGGTTTCTTCATCTGTATTGGGGCTAATAAAGCCCACTTTGCAGTTGAACATAAAGATCAAAAGTAACATATAGAAAGCATGTGGCTCATACTAGCCATCTACTCGACAGCATCATGACATCGATTCTTTTTCCAGATGAAGAAGCGCAGGCTCAGAGAGACTGATGAATTGGCTCAAGGCGGCCGATTAAGTGTAGCGTTCCAACTTGATCTTCATCTTTTGACTCCAAACTCCTGTCCTTTTCTGTGCAGTATTTTCGTAACAAACACAGCCCCTTACTTCCTGTAGATGTATCATCTATAATTTCTGTGTAAGGATGAATTCCAGTGTTTTGCACCACACAGTGAACAGGCCTCCATGGGTGCTGGCGTCCACACCACACACATGACAACAGCAGTCAGCCTTTGGGGGGTGGGGGTGGGGGGTTGTTTCTGCAAGGACCAGAGAGTAAAATATTTTGGGCCTTGGGAGTCACACGTGGTCTCTGTCCACACAATTGTCTTCGTTTTGATTTTGACTTGGTTTTTACAACCTTTATATAAACAAAAACCATTCTCGGCTAGACGGTCAACCATTACATTTGTATATTGCCTCAAGTCCCCAAATACACTCACACTGTTATCTTACCTTGAAGCAAAGCTGGAAAGTAGCTGTTGGTATCACTGCCGTTTGCAGATGGAGAAGGCAGGCTCAGGAAGATCAGGTTGCCAGCTGAGGGCCAGATAGCAAATTCATCAGTCATTCACTCGACAAATATTTATTGATTGCTATTATGTGTCATGTTCTGCACCACCTGCTGGGAACATAACAGCAAAGTAAATACCGTTCCCAGTCTAATCGGGAAACTGGAAGAGCTTCCAGCCTTAGGGGGCAGATGAATGTTGATGAATAATTTTATAAATATCTAATCAATTGCAGTAAGGATCAGTTCTATGAGAGAGAAATGTACTTTGTGGTGCAAGCACATTTTAGAAGGAGATTTGTCTTGACCAGGAAAAGTTTCCATGAGAAAATAACAGCTGAAATGAATCTGTCCGCAACAGGGTAGGGATCACTAGCCTTTGATAGCAGGATGGGCAAACTGTGCCCCAGCCACAGCCTCCGTGTGTGGCTCAGGAACCTACACATGCTTGTCACTTGCATGTCTGTGGCTGTTTCCGCACGACAATGTCAGGGTGGGGCAGCTGAGGCAGAGACCATGACCTGTTGGCCCACAGTCTAAAATATTGACTATCGTTGGGCTTAATGAATGGACATCACTGGTTACATTTACAAAAATATTTTTAGTAGAAGATTCAGTGCAGAAACCATATCAGAGTGGACCGAAAAGTGAGTGTGAGTAGAAAAACTGACATAGCAGATTTCAACCTCTATTTTACGAGACGTGAAAGGGAAAGTGGAACAAGCAAGGCAGACAGACCAGCCACGCGGTGGCGGGAAGGTGCACTGGGAGGGGCATTTGGGAGCAGAGAATTTTTGTGTTAAGTCAGAGTGGATGTGAATGTAGTAAATTCTGGTTGCCGAGGTCATTAAAGTTGTAAAGTCAGGAAAACGACATTTTTCAACAACTGGTTTGGAGCTCCTGGTGTCTACAGAGGCCATCCAGAAAATTCATGTTAAAGATAGCAGTGGCATTATTTTCTATTTATGTTTTATTTTTATTTTTTAAACATATTTTTATTGTTGATAGTATTACAGGTATCTTCCATTTCCCCCCTTAACCCTCTCCTCCTAGCCCCGGTGCATGAAATGCGTGCATGGGTAGGGTCCCTAGGCCTGGCCGGAGATCAGGGCTGATCTGTGGGGTGACCGGTGGGGCGACAGGGGGGCCCCCGCTGCACCCACCTTGGCTGGCCTGGGCCTGCAGGCTGGGGCGGCTCCTGCATTGAGCGTCTGCCCCTTGGTGGTCAGTGCACGTCATAGCGACCAGTTGTTCCACCAGCTGTTCAGTCAATTTGCATATTAGGCTTTTATATATATATAGATAAGTTCTTTGGTTTATCTCTTCTCATCCCCCCAACCCCACATCAAGGTATGTCAGTCTGTTCCACGTCTCCATGCTTCTGGTCTTATTTTGTTGGTCAATTCATTTTGCTTATTAGATTCTACAAACAAGTGAGATCATGTGATATTTGTCTTTCTCAGATTGGCTTATTTCACTTAGCATGATAGTCTCCAGGTCCATCCATGCTGTCCCAAAGGAAAGAGGTCCCTCTTTTTTACAGCTGCATAGTACTCCATTGTGTAAATGTCCTACTAGTTATATTGTAGAGTGAGCATCGGTTCGTATATTTCCCCATAGAATATAGATCCGTGTGAGCCCCACAGTGTATGCAGAGGTAACGAGCCCTCGAGCCGGTGAAGACCGCTGAGCGGGCTCACATGGACTCATGTGGTCAAGTTCTCTGTCACAACCCCCCAGCCGTCTGGCTGTTCTGTCACTTATACAGCGTCACATCATGTGTTTTTTTTCTTATATTAATTATTATCTAAATTGTTTGCATAAAAACTATTGACTGAAGACATGGAGCTGCTGATTGAAAGGTAACTAATAATGAGTTTAAAAATTGGTCTTCTATAAACTAATCTCAGAATGATCTTTAATAAATCGGTAGTATTTTTCTAATAGGAATTTTATTCCCTGGAAACAAATGTTAAAATAGGAAATAGATGACTGATTTTTATCTCATTTGATATTTCAGATTGGGGAGAATTAAGACTGTTCACTATTTTCAGAAAGTACAGTGGGGCCTTGACTTATGAGTGTCCCAACTAACGAGCTGTCTCTTGGCAGATTTTTTGCATTGAGTTGACAGAGTAATTTGAGTTAACGAGCTCCTTAACGAGCTCCGTCTCGGTCCGATTTACTTGTAACTCAAGGCCTCACTGTACTTGATATGAGCAGTCTGGCTGAAATCTCTTCTCTGTTTGGGCCAAGAGCATATTATGGAGGATAAGCTAATTTCTTGAGTTGTTTTCCGCAGGGATAGCATGCAGACTGTTGGCGATGGGAACTTAACTGATTAAAGGGAATGTTTGGTTTTGGGATAATATCTTTATGATATAGAGTGATATTTTCTGAGCGTTTTTTTCTAGAAATTAATTCATTTTGCAAATGGCTGTGACCCATGTAGTGTAGTGTAGTGTGTGTGTGTGTGTGTGTGTGTGTGTGTGTACAGGGGCAGAACCACTTACCATTTTGCAGAAATACAGTGGGGCCTTGACTTACGAGTGTCCCGACTAACGAGTTTTTCGAGATACGAGCCGTCTCTCGGCCGATTTTTTGCTTTGAGTTGCGAGCTAAAATTCAGATATCCCACCGCTAGTTGGCGCAGCAAACATCACAGTGAACACCACAACATCAGCCCAGCATCACATGTCTCACTCGTTCACTTTTTGATTTGACATACGAGTAATTTGAGTTACGAGCTCCATCAAGGAACAAATTTAACTCGTAAGTCAAGGCCCCACTGTATAGAAAAGCAGCATTAAGTGGCCTTTGAGCCACTCTTTTCCACGATATTTGAAGTTTTGTTGTTGTTAATCCTCACCTGAGGATATTCTTTCCATTGATTTTTAGAGAGAGAGGAAGGAAGGTGTAGAGCAGTGGTTCTCAACCCTTGGCTG